ATGTTGCCGATACCGGCGCTACCACCCACATGTTCGCGAACTCAGATGGGTTCGTTCGTTACGAAGAGTGTGATCGACGTGTGCGCGTCGCCGCCGGAGAAACCTTTCCTATCGTAGGGTACGGCGACGTGACGGTAACCCTCAGCCCGCGCGACGGCATAACCGACCTGTTGTTGAAACGGGTTGCACACTTTATCCGACTATACTACAACCTAGTATCTCTCACTCCCCTCTTCGACGACGGGTTCGAAAGCAAAACCCAACAAACACGAGTTGGAGTTGGAGAGAAGGGGGGGGGAGTTGGTGTACTTCCCCCGATGCGGTAACCTGTACGTCCAAAACGGTTTCCGCACACACACCGAACATGCCTGTGCCGCAATTGCTCCTGGCAACGCGAAAGCGCCCAGCACCCCCGTTGACATCAACGATTTCCACTGCGCGCACGGCCACTCCCACAAGGTGCTGCTGAGGACCACACCAGGGCCGGTGCCCAGGCCCAGGCATTGTCCCCTCGCCCTTCTCCGTTCTGTACACACAAACATCACCTGGTTCACGCACACACATGCTTTCGTCGAGACTGAGTGGAAGATCGTTGCACAATCTTTTCTCACACATCGGAGAGGGCGGTCGCCGCGAAGTGCCGACTGGAGGGGTCCGAGACATGGTTGACAGAAGCATCAAGAGCCGGAGGCGTACGATTAGCGGTCTCCAGCCCACAGGAGCAGTGCACATTGAACCAGGCCCTAACACAGGACGGACAGAATCCCGGGCTCAGTCTGCTGGCGGCGTCTCAGACCAAAAACAAGGAGGCATTGACACAGGACGGGGTTACGCGAGTTATACGGGAGCTGCAGAAGAGCTTCGACTTCGTAGTGTGTGACAGCCCCGCGGGGATCGAGTCAGGGGCGCGGCACGCCATGTACTTGGCAGACGAGGCGGTGATCGTCACCAACCCCGAGGTGTCCTCGTGCAGGGATAGCGACAAGATGGTGGGGTTCATCGCCAGCATGTCTAGGAGGGCGGAGGCGGGGCAGGCGCCGGTGCGGCAGACGTTGCTCGTCACCAGATACGACCCCGCCCGGGCCGAGTGCAACGAGATGCTCACACTGGCGGACATCCAGGAGCTCTTGGGGCTGGAGGTTCTGGGGTTCTTTCCGGTGTCGAAGGCGGTGTTGACGGCGACTAACCTCGGGCAACCGGTGATAGTGTCAGAAGGAGACGACGCGGCGACGGCCTACAAGGACGCTGTCGATCGGTTCTTGGGGAAGACGGTGGACCTCAAATTCGGGCAACCCAAACCCGCCGGTCTGCTCAAGAGAATGTTCGGTTCTAGCTCGTGAAGATGCAGTCGGGCAACTAGACCAGCTCAAGAGGATGTTCGGTTCCAGCTCGTGAAGATGCAAGCGAAGCTCTGCCAATCAATCTGGTGTAGACCCCCGTAGGGATTGCATGCTGCAAGGACTGTTGTTTCCTCTGCTGAAGGGGAGAAAGAGACGCCGTAAGTAACCTCCTCGACAGGTTCGGAACATCCTTCTCGTGCACGGCTGGTTCTGAACGTGCTGGAAGGATACCCGTATACCTCGGCGAAGAAAGGACTACGTGTTAGGCAGGCGTCAGAGCGAAAATTGTGGGAGGTATAGGAGACGGGATGGTAGCATACGACGGAGACGCATTGTGCGAGATAGAGCCGAGGAGACTGAACGGCAGGGCGGACGGCACCGTAACTTTTACGGGGATGATTTGGTTTTTGTTTGAGGTTTGTTTGCTGGGACAAAGGCGAGCGGCGGGGCTGCTGAACCACCGGTCGGCGACGCAGGCAGGACATGTTCTGCGAATGGCCGTAGCTAGCTATAGACGTAATTCTGTAAAGGAGTCATTGCCGTGGGAGGGGTAGGTTGACGACCCTGTTTCAACAGTCTTGTGTTTATATCATAACAATGATGGTTTGCTGAAAAGTCAATCCGTGTCGGCGGCACGAAAGCTTTTTACCATACCCCAACGAATTGACAAGTCGAAGGATTTGCCCTGATGACGTTGTTTTAGTTGATCGAAGGACCCACAGACCGACCACCAGCGGGAGGCGCCGTAGTCGGATCCGGGGAAAATCCGTAGTCCACACAGCAGGCCGGGACGGATCCAGCCGGACCGCACGGGGGAGTCGTGGTGCGGCTCATGCGTGTCATTAAGGGGGTACATGGAACTTTCACAACGCTGCTGCTCGTCTCGGTTACGCGCCCGAGCCGGAGACGGCCATAGGGCGTACCATAAGAAAAAACACGAAAGAGACAAGGATTAAAAAAAAAATAAAACCTATAGAGTGTTTGCGGCCTACGCCACTTATTTATCGGGTGAGACTGTTTTGGTGACGTATTAACTTCACGAGAGGTCGATGGCCGTCCGTCACGGACGAAAGAGGGAGTGCTCGAAGAGCGGCCCCCACAGCAACGAGGGGCCCCGTGAATCATCGCGGTGCCCCCTACCAAAGGGCAATCTTACCAGTTTGCGTCACACCAAATCATTCAGCACATCTATCCAACACCAATGTTCGCAGACCCACGAACAGGAGATTCGTTCGTTTTTCTCCATCAAAGGTTCGTGCCTAGAGTTCAGCTGTAGTGTTTCAACCAACGTTTGTTGACTTAGAGGCAAACATTCCTAGCTATTGGGCATCGAGTTAATTTGGCTTGGCATGACGGCCTTTACGATCGACTTTTTTTGTATGTCTGCATTTATCTACAATGTCGGAGGGCAAAAAAAATAAAAACAATAACAGGAGATCCATCGTACATCAACGCGATGCACCATGCTGTCAATGTACGCGGTTGTGGAGATTTATGAGACCAACCTCCACGTCTCTCTCAATGGCACACCCGTCACACCACACGCACTCTCCAAGGTCTGTGGAGGGGCATGTCTTGTTGAGAGAAGCAACAACTCCTTGCAATCCTCGTAAGACCCAGCCATAACAATGTCATCCACGTAGATCACAAAATCATCACCAGGACGTCATCTACCATCTTGGGGAAAACACACGAGTCCGCCTTGCATGCTTGAACCCATTCTCGGCGAGCGTATCGGCGGCGTGGTACCCCCACTGCCTACCGCTCTGCTTTAGACCGCAAATAGCACGCTCAGCTTTCACGTTTTTTCTCGATTTTTCCCCTCACCCAGCCGAGAGCCTAGTGCACACTTCCTCGTCGAACGTGGCATGTGTGTATGCCTGTTATACGTCCCAGTGGTTGAGGTTCATGTCGTTTTCGTTGGCTGCCGCAAGAGGAAGTCTTGCGGATGCGGATGATGGGCAAGGAGACGACGAATAAAAACAGTCTACGTTAAGGATTGGTGAACACCACCTAGACGCGCTTTGAGTTTTTCAATATTCCCAGTCTTGTTGGAGGTCTAAGCAGGCCTACGCCCCTCCGGTGTGCTGTCTACAAACGAAAACGTCCCCGTGCCCCAGTGTCTATCAATCTCTTCCCTCATGGCCTGTTCCCACCCCTCCCTGTGCGTTGACTAGACAACTCCGGCTTCGGTCATGGGGGGGTATTCTACGTGGTCGGAAGCTTGCCTATGGAGGATCTAGGACCGAGCTCGATGGCCGCCAGTGCGGTCGCGAGGGCATCTGGTGAGTTAACCATTATGTCCTCTGCTACCAGCATGAAGTCTTCCGCCTCTTGACGCGCGGTGTATGCCACCTCCGCGCGCTCGTACACCAACTCTCGCACAACTTTCGGCTCGAGCCTTTCCGCCACGTGAAGTACCGACGCGAGCATCCAATGGGTGAACTCCTTCGTGCTGTTCATTGGGAATGTCGCCACCGAGGCGACCAGGGCTTCGGCACTTGTCAGCGACGGCCGGAACTCGTATCTTGGGTTTCGGTGAGGGTTCTCGCTGGTGCGGCGGCTGGTGGGTTCTACCGGCCTGTCAAAGCGGGCGAGCCTCCGGGCCTCTGGCCCGCGGAGCGCCGGGAGATCCGTCTCGATGTTGCTGGTGCTGCTGCGGTCGCTGCCGCTGTCGCTGCCACTGTCACTGCCGCTTCCGCTGCTGCCGCCACCACCGCGGCCGATGCGGCTGCTGCGCCCTCTGCTGCTGCGGCGGTCGTCCTCGCCGTCGCCCACATAGGCCATCTCGGTCGACGTGGTAGAGGGAGCGACGCTCGCGCGCCCTCCCTTCTCGGGGGAGCGCCATCGCCTGCATTGCCCGCGCCTGACTCCTGCGGCGCGGCCGGCGGCACACTCAGTAGATCGTGCGCGAGCGGCCCCGCGGGCCGTAGGGCTAACGTCATGTCAAGGTCGAAACCTGGTCCTCCATCCACAGGTTCACCCTCTGCCCTTCCTCCACCGTGGCATGACGCGCCCTCCCTGCCCTCGCGCTCCCCACTTGTGAGCTCTTCTTCCTCCAATGCAATGGGAGCCGGCTGCTGGGGGTAGGCGGTCGGGGCGGTGGGACAGGTTGCCACGTGAATCTGCGAGTTGTGATCGCTTGGAGGTTTCGCTCAGAATGCGTACACAGTCATGGTTGTGGTTGACCCCAGGGCCGAGGTCAAAGAATCTGTGGGCTTTCGAGTCTGACTTGCATGTGCGCTTGACGTAGTATGCGGCGGGTTGGAGGAACGCGTGCGTCACCCCCCTGCGGGGGGAGGCCCCCGTGCCACGTTTCACGAGGCGATTTCTTCTCTGGGGTTTGTGTCGTTGAGGTGCAGCTCAGGACCCTGCATGCTCAAGCTATGGCCTCGGCCCAAAGGACTAGTATGGTGTTCCGGAGTAAAGAGTCGGTGCTGCATCCTTGATCAGACCAAATGCTCTGTCAGCGTCACCGTTGTATTCCGGGCTGTATACAGGAGGGGTTAATTGTGTATGTACATTCATGCTATGGAATGAACTCTTACCATGAACAAAGAAGCTCCGCAATGACCCTTGGCAAGAATGAAGGATATGTAACCTGATATTGAGCACGGCAGCTTTCTGTTGTTCGGTGAACGGTGCTCGTACGGGAGGAAGATCGAACATCCGACGTACTACTATCGGGTTTCGAATCCTGGGGAGGGTCGAAGCAGCATCCGTACCCGCTCGTCATCTATAAATACCCGCTCGTCATCTACAAACGCGCTATGGAAGTCATTGCGGTGCGTCTGCCCAATCTACTACTGCAGTGGTATTGTTGCGAACGCGGTATACCCAAAAAGTGCCCGTGACGTGATGACGGCGGCGCACGTTTTTGCCCGACTCGGACGACCTTGTTCCGTGGTTCGGACGAAATTTGAATGTTGGGGACATGTGTGGAAGAGCTGCTATTGTTTGGAGTACGAACAGATAGTGGAATTCTCTGATTGGATAACAACACGGCGCAATACGAGTGTCGGGTGTGCTATAATCTAGTCTACGTGTGCGTTTGCATGCAGAGATTACGGAAGTTGTGTACCATGAGGCGAGGATCAATCAATGCGAAACTGTGATTATTCTGCAGCTTCATGCTCTACACCATGGCCACTTGTTGAACAAGCGTGGCACAAAGTGCACCCCATTGTGTAATGGCAATCTCCCCAACACTTTTATTTGGCCCTACCGGTATATTACAAGCATTGAATGCCATGAACGTCTTGTACCGATGGAATTGTGTCGGCGAGAATGCGCCGATCACAGCAGTGATAGCATCCCTGGGAGGACGTGGTCGTGGCTTGAAGGAAAACTTGACGGACGCTGACTACTGTCGTCTAGTGGTCTAGATAGTGGGCTCATCCTTTCAAGCGTACAACCTCGGTGGTGGAAGTGGAGCGCTGTGGGTACTCCCCCTGGCTCTGCACCTTTTTCGTCCGTGCGCCCCCCTGCCGTAGGACACGATGTTTGACACAGCATGAATAACACAAGCAGCCCCACCTTTCCACCCACCTCTCCACCCACCTCTCCGACTGCCGAGTACAAACTATGTCGGCAGAAGCACCATCAGTACAGCAGCTACAGTTGCGACGATGCGACAATGGCGAGGCGCATATCAATGAAGCGCTCGAGCTGTCACTACGTGTTGTGCAGTTTGCCCTCACTCAGTTGAGCGCCCAACTACCGGTTGTCGTCAATCCGCACGAAGATACCCACATGGCGTCGCCATTGACCACCCCGATCTTGAAAGAGTCATGGAAAGGACGTTGAAAAGCAGCTTGATCCGCTTGATGGCTGCCCTCTACTTCCACCTTCTCAGGTGTGTTTCCCAGAAAAGGTCACCGGCGTGGGTTGCAGCAGCATAGCCTTCGAATATTTCTGACCCCCTTCCGAGATCTAGGTACCACTGTAGATTCACTTGCCTACGCCGGCAATGGCGATACAATCGTGAGTGTCCACAAGGAAAGTTTGGAAGCAGGGTCGAGGGTGGATATGTAGAGATTTACCGATCGCGACGCAGCGTGTTAGCGACGAAAACGCCGCAGCGGCGAAACGTCAGCAAAAACGTGCGTGTCGGAAACTGAGCTTCGGACGGTGGATTGAGTTCGGAGAATGGCGATGGCGCGGGACGGCAAGGTGGGTTGACATACTGTAAATTATCATCTTCGTCTGTCACAGCTGGTGTAGGGTACAGTAGTACTCACAGAACCGCCCAATCTGCTGTGAATGTCACGGGCAGAAGGAGTGAATTTTGTCCGGCCCGTTTCCGTGTAGCTTTGATTTGTCATCGATATTTTTCTACTATTTTGTTTGCCCTCCGACAATTGCAGATAAATGCAGACATACATAAAAAGTCGATCGCAAAGGCCGTCATGCCAAGCCAAATTAACTCGATTATCAATAGCTAGGAATATTTGCCTCTAAGTCAACAAAACTTTGGTCGAAACACTACAGCTGAACTCTAGGCACGAACCTTAGATGATCATTTTGCCTGTATTTTTCATTTTTGATTCCCAGGTATTTCACATCTAATGCTTCAACAGTAGCGTGGTACTGTAGTACTATAAATTCAATTGTGGTTGTCTCAGAACGAATATCGGTTCCGTCAACGAAGAAGACACGATGTCGAAAGTGCAACGGATCTTTCGCGATGACTCCCCACGTTCTTATGATGCGAATCAGATAGGGACCCCCTTGTGCGTGGGAGCAAGGACTCGGATTCACACCGGGACTTCGGACACAGAAAACGCTCGACATGAACGTCATCGCAAAATTAGACTCGTCACGTGGGTTACCGATAATGGAGCTTCATGTCTGGAAGGAGTCGGGACTCGATTTCACGCGGAGACGTAGGACACCGAAAACACCCTATACCAACGTCATGGATATCTTGGTACAGAATGAATGAAGGAGTGAACGTTTCGAGAGCGTTTCCGAGAAGCTCAATAGTTTAACGATCCATACCATTTTCCGTCGGGGCCCAAATTGTTTTCAGCGGAGACATGTTTATCGGCAACCACGTGCCGTAATGGGTCAAACGATTACTTTCGCATCAGACGAGGGCTGCAGGAACACAGTGCAGTTGGTTTCGCGCCCAGTGAGATGCTCTCGGCATTTGTTGGCGAAGGCATAAATATCGCATATTTGCGGCCCCGCTGGAGTGATCCTGTGGCGAAATGCTTGGTCGTATCTCGGAAACCGTATGTCAGGCAAATGACGGCTTGCGCGACAGGTGTGGGCCGTGGGGACACCGCGCAAATAGTTGTGTGCCCATTAGAGGTTCGTTTTTTCTGAGCGCTTTGCACAGTGTGGTAAATATGCCAAATTTGCTCGCATGTTCGACACGGCCGACGTGATGCGACATTTGTTTCGATCATGTCTCGGCAACAGCCGGCCCCGATGGGACGAACGAGGCGTTGGACGACAGCTGAGAGCCGTAGAAACGCAATGACTGTGACTTGTAAGCGTTCTGTGCGGGGTCGACATACCGTCACCGAAATATATATGAACCATTTCTGCTCGATCACTACTGTACGCTCGTGTTCACTGTCTTCGATTTCCCTCAACTCAAGGTCCGCCAGGCCTTACAGCGCATTAGAGCGTTGATCCACAAACGGTGTAAGCGATGCCGGTAGTGACCAGGTATGTACATTACGATGTTTCATGGAATTCCATGGACTTCCATGGACTTCCATGAAACGTTCCACGGAAAAGCACGAAAATGTACAAGCCCCGTAGTGACCGACTTGATTCCCGATTATGAGAGCCAGGATGCGCGCCGTTGCTTTGTTACTCGCCACACGTGGCCTGCGTTCCTTCCAGACTACAGGATATGCCCTCAGGAGAGCGAGTTGCCTGACCACATGCCGCGACGCATACCCCGTCAAACGTGTTGTGGGCATTCCAGACATGGACTAGACGAGACGGCAGAAAACGGAATGGAGGTAACAAGGTACCAACGCCAACACCCAGATTCTTGCCGCGGCTAGTCCACGTTGTGCAGAGGAGTTTCGAAACCCGTGCTCAAGGCTTGCCTCATTGATCTAGGGGACGCGACACACGGAACCTTTGCAAGCTGGTGGAGAGGACTACGTGTGGGGGCACCACTGAGACATTGTCGCTATAACGTATATGAGACGAGAGCAAGCATCTACCGTTGTTTTCAGTTGTCGACACAAGGGGTTCGTAGAACCGACCCCGAAAAAACAATTGTTCTTCGATGGAGCCAAAAAATGTCTTCAACCGAAGGGGACTTGAAAGTGGTCCGAACAGTGTTGACGTTCGCCGGAGACGGCTGAGCCTAAAAATACTCATCGTGTGCCCGTGTATTCGCTACGACCATTCACATGAGCTACAAAGCGACATGAGAGCTTCAGCAGGCGCATATTCGCGCCGTGACCGAACCACGTACGCCGAGAGTCGACCAAGACAATTCTGGGCTATACGACCATCCCAACAACCAAAGCACCGACATTGCATATTTCTATTGTCTACGGCGCAAGTCGAGAACGTGTGGGGATAGGGCGAGGACTCCTCCACACTACCCTCCCCCTACACAGCCCAAACCAAGCCGACTTAACACACGTCAGCTCGCTGACGTGTACCGCTGTGGTGCCTGCTTGGCTTTGACTGCGTGACGTTACTACGAACAACAGTCACCCCTTGTCCAAGTCCGGCCATCCCCATCTAGTGTAACTCCAGGGATGGACGTGCATCACACGCAGAGCGACAAGCAAGACTACGCTCGTTCGGAAATTGTTGGCACAGTTGTAGCACGCCGACCAGCTGAAAGGTAGCGTGGGCTCTATTCACACACTATACCATCGATCCCCATGGACTTGTACATACTCTATACCAGGAGAACACCATCCATCGATCACTTCACACAAACGTTGCACTAGCCAGAGTTTCTAGACTACAATATGAGCATAATTGCACTTACCCTGAAACACACGGAGGGTACGTTCAACGCCCACCGCGACCCTCCCATACGCAGCAAACCCCAAGGAAGCATCAACCTTTCGGACGCTCCGCTTGAAATGAGCGTCGATCTCCCCTCTGCGGCGCTGCTGGTCGTCCGTCCTCACACCTTGACGTAGCATGTGCCGTCGAGGCTGAGCTCCGGGTCATCACCCGTCGTTACCTCGCTGGTGGTGTCAGTCTACGCGATGAAAATGGTGGTGCGACGAGCGGAACTTCGTAGGTGGGTGCTCGGCACAGTTGATAGAGGGGTGCGCTACCCTGTTGGATTTTCGGGTTCAACAAGTATGCAGAAGCCTGCGCCGCAACCAGGAATTTCACAGTACTTTGCATAGGTGCGAAAAATGTTGCCGGAAAAGGGTCTCCACTCGAAGGAATAAATGAGATAATCGACCCGTGAAATTTCGATGTTCCGTTGAAAATGAGGCAAGGGTCTGGGCTATTCTGCTGCCAGGTGTATTTTTGTGCATGTTGACACTTCGCCTCGTGCGTGACGGTACGTCGGTTCAGCATCACTTCACCCAACACAGCAGACCACCGACAAGAATTCCGTACGGTCGGGAGATTTCTTGTCCGGTTGCACAGAGTGTCAACACTCATTGCACTGGGCCGTCACCTCGTTCGTTCTTGCAAATGGTCACGGAGAAGCTTTCGTCTCTCCGCAAGAACCTATCACATCCCGTGAATTTCCGGCGCTCTCGACAGGAGGGGAGGGCATGCTTTGTGCGCCGTTGCACTGATCTCTGGAAAGAAACCAAGAATATCGAAATCGTTCGAGAGCCGTAGCAGGGACCCAAAACCTGCCCAATAATCTGTGGTTGTCCTCAACAATAGGTTACCTGAATGACGCATGTGCCAGTTTCGACGTTGGAGAAGCCGCAGTTGTCAAAGGACACCCCAGAGCTGCCGGACACAACAATCACCGGGTCTGTGTGGTGCAGATCGCGCCGGAGAATGGAAAGCAGCAAGTGTGTATGGGTTCTTCATTTTGTGGTATTTGGGGCGGTATTGCGCAAGAGTTGGCGCAGCGAGTCCGATACTCGGAGGGAGAACAAAGCCAGCAAAAACGGTTCTGACCCTTGGTTGCACAAAAAGCGGACAACGACCAAGGAATGATGATGCCGGTTGAGGGGAGGTAAATGCTGTCAACAAAAAAATGCTTCCTACACGGGTCTGGAAAGAGAGACGTGTACTGCAAGGACTCATGAATGTAGCAAGTAGTACCGAACGCGAGCTCACCGTTGACGGATTGGACCTTCATGTCTTGGAATTTGACGAGAGTGGAGCTCTCGACGACGACTTCGATAGGCTGCTGCCCGTCCAGGCTTCCAACGTTGCCCTCGCCCTCGAGCACACAGTCTTCACCCCAGCATTTGTCCGCGATTGTGGCCTCGAAGGTAAAATTGTTGGAACCCGAAACGTGGATACCGGCTACGCCATTGTCGTATGTCTGCATGCGTGGCACAAGAACATACAGTCGGGTTCCAATGAAATATTGTCGGCCTGCAATTGGTGGGTGTGGGAGGGGTGCTTCGCCCGCGTCATAAATCTCACCTCAAAGGAAATTACGCCCAGCACAAAGCCCCGCAGTCCTACGAAGTACATTAATGGTCGGTGTTTTGTGGGTATCGTAACTGTGCGTATGATAGAGGCCGAAGTCAAACCAATAGATAAATATTCAACGCTGGCTCATCCAGTGATTTGATGTATTTTGTAGTTTCCTCGATGTATCGAGTCAAAGGCAAACCCTAGCTGCACCAAAGGCCCTTAGGATCCTGACAGCGTCTATCATTCTGGACTGATATTCCACGAGCACTCACGGTGTAGCGGCGAACCCACACAGAGTCCGACGAGTCGACCACAATCCCAGTGCCACGGCTTTGGCCGATAGTCCAAGGGAGGTAATCACTGAAATAGGGGTAAGGGACGTTTGCGTACGAGCAACGCCGCGCAGCAGGCAGCAAACGGGGTATTGATACTAACCAAAAACGAGCAGACGGACCAAACCATGGCCGAGAGTTGAAAAGCAGTGAGATGTGGCAAGCTGCGACGGACTAAGGATAGGAAATCACTACCCACCATTACCGTTGAGGAGGAGGAGGACGCCTTCATGACAAACCGCTTCAGGGTCCGGAGACCGCAAAGATTCAGCGACGGTTCTCCAGGCTGGTGGTCAATATTGGCGTGCGGCGGCACGAACACAAAAATATCGCCGTACTGAGAACGAGCGATACGTGTGTAGTTGAATTCAACGTCCATCATAGCATCCGCAAACAACCTGAAGGTTCGATACTTTACCAGTCCACTCCATCGACATCACTATTTTCAGCAAGACTCAAAATTTTGCAGTGTATCAACGAGCGAGCATCGGACAAATGATGTAACTCTGATCTACATGTAGTGCCAGGGTCCTCAATAGTTTCAAACCTCTGAGCCTGGGTTTCTTGTGAGTGTGTTTGTCGCGATTGGGCCGGCACCGTACATGTACAAACGTAATGTGTGCCATCAAATGATGAAACTAGCATCATGTCCATTGGAATATAAAGCGAAAACATTGCCTGTCATTCACTCACTCATCGTAGGGCCCAGAATCGATGTTGATCATTTGGGAGTCGCGCACGACGAGGGCGTCACCGTCGCTGGAATAAACGCTGGCGTCTATGCACGTGATGTTCTGGAAACGTAAGATTACGGGTTCCAGCGGTGAAAACGAAGTACAGAGAATGAAGACGATGAGGGTGTTCTGGAAAGAATGACCCGTCTTCGCTTGGTGAATACAAACAACGATGGCAACACGTCGAATCTGGACATGCAAGGTAGGTAGGCACCGCTAGCAGAGAGATTGAACAGTCTTCCTCTGGCGGCATGATGTGTTCGTCTGTGTCCCTGAACGTGACCCGAGACGGGCAGAGGACGAGATTAAGCGTGACACACTCGACCTCCCCGAAGGGCGAGGGCATGCGCGCCAGATCAAATGGCAAGTGACATGCATCCGTAATATCATTCACACACAGTGGTTCGGCGTGTCAAGCAACGAATGCATGCTCTCATCCCATCATCTGCCAGGTCCCGCTGGGCTCACCGTGGAGCCCGTGATGGAGAGGCCAACAGACCCCAGGCCATGCACGGTGGGCGTGTCGTTGCTAGTCTCGCTGTCGTAGTTGCCGATAATCCACGTGTTTGAAAGCTGCCCCACACGAGCGTAAGAAGGAAAACGCTAGGTACATTAGCACTACGCTGTCATCAAGTACCAAGAAAACAAAAAAACGAGCACCTTGGCTTCTAGGCGTTTGGGTGGCATCTGCCGGTTCGTGGTGATGCCGTGAGTTGGAATAGATTCGGCAGGCTTTGTAGTAACGACCTAGACAAGAAATCCCGCACCTATGCTCCCGTGACCATCCGTCTGGCAAGAAAGTGACGGCCAGTTTTTGGTCGCGAGGCGTGGAAAGGTGCTGCAAATTCTTTAGACTGGTTGAGCTTAGCTGCACGCACCCGTGCGTTAGATATGTTGTCCATGACGATCATGGCGGCGGTGTCCGTCTTTCCTGCCGCTCCGTCTTCAAGGATGATGTCGGTCGTGTACGGGGAGTCGTCTATGGAAAACCTGCGGAACAAACGCCGCAGGCGAAGAGGATACATTATCAACAGATGTGTTTAGCGGCTGGCGTGAAGGCGCTTGAAAACATCACTCGAATTACTTCACTCCAATGGGCACATGTATGGTACTGTAGCGTCTTCGCCATGAATCATTTCCCTTTCTCCATGCACCTCGCAAGCGAAGCGCTTGGTTGAGGCAAGGAGTATGTGCCGCAATTACCCAAGCCTGGATACACGCGGCACGTCGCGTTCGCATCCCCACAAGCTAAATCCGAGCAAATATTCCACTCTTTGCCGTACCAGGCGTGGAGGTGGACTCCCGACTTCATGAAGATGTTGCCGTCCACGAACCACTCGCCCATGGGCATGCTCACCTGATACGTTCGCGGGCAGAGAAAAAGTTGACTTGGAGAAAAAAGTGTGGAAGAGAATGGCACAGACGATGAACGAGGACATACAATGACACCGGTATCGCCTGCCGCAAGAATTAATATGGTTTGGCTTCTTCTGCAAGAGTTAGCCTGAAAGGCTGGAGGAGAGGTTCGAGCAACAGAAGCGCCCAGTCAGAAACGAGCACCAAAGCGTAGCCAATAGAATTGCGTGAGGACCCGACGAGATACCGGGAAAAGGTTTTCACTTCAGAGGCAAACACGACAAATAAGTTCGCTGTTGAGACGGCAACCAGACGCAACATAGCACAGAGCAATAAACGGCCTTACCTCGCCCGTGGCAGCGTCATCACCGCCGACACAGTCCACGCCGTCGAAAGAAGCCTTCTTCACCGCGCAGATAGCGCCCATGATGGCCTTTTGGTCTCCGGTACCCTCTGCCACGAAGTCCGGGTACCTATCGCTGTTCCACTCGGTGACGTACGTGGAGCCCACCTGCAAAATACAGCGGTACGCCGGTACGTCAACATGGAGAAGATCGTGGCAGACAGGCTGGGCATTGAAGAACCGCTCGAAAACGAACAGCGGGTCAAACAATGTGCAGGCATCACATTTCATTTGCCAACCGATGTGCGACACTTTGCAGCTATATCTGCCGACTTCCACAGGTGTCTCGAATCTGAACATCCCTTCCGCCTGACCACCTTCCAGTACCATGCTCTAGGCCTAGCCGCTCACGTAGAAGGTGTCGCTGGGGTTGTCGATTGCGGTGCCGAAGAAGCGGGCATTCGCGAGCTTGAAACCCGGCGCCTCCGAGCCCGTCCCCTTCATGACGATGGCGATCTCGGTCACAGGATCGTCGATCGTGCCAAGTTCGAAGCGCTGCCATCCTTCGGAATCCACGCTTTCGAACCCCTGCCACGGATTGGTTGTAATGCCACAGCGAGCGTGGGTTGCTGAGCGTTCTGCCTGTGAAGTGGTTCTTGTGACACTTGCAGCAGCCTGTCGGATGTCACTGAGCTCACTCTTTCAAATATGGTTATTCAAAACGACAAACAGGAACTGAACTGAAAATAGGAAACGGGAGGGACCGGTAGCCTCTCGTAACCTCGCGAGACACTTCGTGGTGACATCGAGGGCTAAACGTGAACTGGTATTTAGAAATGACACATGCGAAATCTTGGCCACAACTTCAACAAGTAGAACGAGACCATGCCGACAAGCTCCAACACAAGCCCTCACGGTAAAGGTGGACACGATCTCGTCTTCGTCATCGTAGAGCGTCAACTCGAACTTGTAGGTCTCTCCAATGGGAAACTGCAGCTCGACCGCTTCCATAACGGCGTAGGATTTGAGGACGAACGATAGCTTCTCGTCGATGGCTGCGTCGGACTCGGAAGCCCACACGAAGGCATCCGTCGTGGCGCCCTGATTGCGATTGGCCGGAAGCGGTGCGCGTTGCAACATCTCAAACGCGCTGAGGAGTACCTAGCATGAACCACAGCTTCCTCCGTATGTGAAAATGGGGCTGGTACACTTCGTGCATGGATGTTGGGCACCCTCCGCGCGATCCCTCAGAGGACAAAACTACGAACGCCATGAAATGCAGACGGCATTGACTCAGTATCGCCGCTCGCGCAACGTCTAGGCGTCGATTGGTCAAGAAATGAAGACCAACAACGCGCATTTGCTTCGCAGCACAAGTGGGGGTACTTACGGGCCACAGGGCGTCACCATAGTACGGCGTTTCGAAGTCAACGACGGACACCTCGCCGTCCTGGATCTCTTCGACAAACTCCACCTGCAGACGGTCATACAAAGTAGTCGGTACGTGAGGCAAGTGAGGGAATGCCCACTGCTAAAAATAAAACTCTTTGTACCCCCGGTATGTCTTGTGCACCGCGATCTCACCCGAACAAACACTACGGACGGGCGCCCCAGTGAACACATGTAACTCTGGCGCCATCAGGGAACCCTGTCGCTGCTCAGCAAGCAACAAGGGGGTCTAAACCACCCACTCTGCTCCACGCGATCCAATCAGTATTGCTCCTACGGACGGACAAGACAGAGCCGTCCGACGACCCGCTGTTGCTGGGCACCCAACGCCGGCTTCCGAACATTCCAACAAAGAAGGTGCACTGTACACGTGGGTGCAAGGAGATCTGATCTTGAATGGTATCGAAGAAACTACTCCCTGTGAGCGGCGGCCTTCGATAGCACTGACCTCCGAGATGCTGATAGACTGGCCGCTGCTTGTGAACACTCCGGCGATGGACACGTAATTCGTGAAGTGGTCAAAGTCGTACGTTTCGAAGCCGTCCGTGGTCCCCGAACTCGTAACGAAAATTTCCTCGAACTGCGAAGAACACGACAAGAAAAGAATTTTTCAATCGCGAAACAAAGCAAAATGCCATGGGGGGATAAATTGAATGCCACGTGCAGGAGTCCAACAAACGACCACGAATGTATCGCCGTGGATGTGGCTTCAAGTGAGCTCGAGGTTTTGCAAGCCCTCCGAGTCGCAGATCCCGCAGCTATTTTCCAGAGATGCACCGTCCCCTGGTTAGGAGTACGTGCAGGTTCCCAAGGGGCGTTACCAAGCCCGCGGTGTTTCGCGCAACGAGTGAGACATGCAATCACGCCTCTGCCTCGCCCGATAATAGTACTTGATAACGCAACATGATTTGTTGCTTGGTTTCTATCGTAATTCCTTACAAGATAGCCGCCCCATGAATGTGCCAAACTTGCCAACCCTCCACGGGAAAGCATCCCAGTTGAGAAATTTTCTGTTCACGCCAGAAACGCTGTCATCGGCGGTGTGGTCGTGTGCGAAATACGACGGTACGCATACATGAGAATTGCCAGCATTTTCACTCATGAATAACAACTACGGCGACAGGGTCGGAGCAAGAAGGCTTCGAGGTTACACACTGCGAATCTCCAGAGACTCACGCTGGCGCTATTCGAGCTATACGGGGCGGCAATCCTCATGTCCACCGCACGTTCGGCACCATCGGGCAGAGCTTCGCAACAAAGAGGGAACCGGAAAAATCGGTGGGTCGGAGTAGGGCATGGGAAGCGTTAGTACTCGAAGGGAAGGAATAATCACTCATCATGTCCATACACGAATCCTGCTGGGCTACTCTGTATTGTGGTCGTTCGTTCGTAGATGATCTGCTCGACAGTAGTCGTTGCGTTGGGTGTAATAAATCAGTAGTTCGGACAAGGGCAAGAAAGAAGGTGTTTACGAATAACCACTCAACATCGTCCATACACGGAAAATTCCGTGAAACTCTAGCAGGTCTGTGAAATACTCTACCGACGAGATCCCGGCGACCCGACCCGGCTCACCGATTTTGACCTGCTTGATGTTCCGGTGGCAGAACATGCTGAATTGGAGGATACAGTCGTAGGACGTGTCGGCGGTCTCTTGAGGGTTGCCGGAGCAGGTCCAGGAAGTCGACATGTCTCCGTCCTTGTATGTAGATACGAAACAGCCGGTCAGGTAAATGCACCACACAAGAGTTGTCAGTGAAGGAGCAGCTTGAAACACCAGGGCAATTTTGAAGGACCATGTAGTTAGTGCGTGAAGTGAGCTGACAATGACGTCTTGTCTGTCGCCTATACATCTCCCCCGCCCGCGGTAGTTCGCGCCAACATCTTTGAGGCATTCATCCGAACCCAAGGCGGGGGTGGAGGTAATTTCACTCCATTCACGATTGCCTCTGGTAGAACATCACCCTCTAGACGACGCTCGGTGAATATTCCCCCACCAGATGCACAAACGTGTCTCCCGAAATGATTAAGTTCAATTCCAACGCGACGTACCTTGACGTGGTACCTCTCGAGGCTGGTTCCGCCAGTACTGGCCAAGGGGATAAGACCCACAGGCTGCAGAGTTCCGGTGGTAGACGTGACGGGTTGAGCCGTTGCAGGGCTGGGCGTTGCGGGCGATGGGCTAGGAGTTGTCGGCATAGGGCTGGCACCGTCTTCCAGCACCATGATTTCCGCCTGACCAGAGGAGGATGAAATCGGGATACCCAGGGCCGACGCCGCCCGTCACAATGAGACACGTTACCAGTGCACACTTTTTTTGGCCAAGACTGGAAGAGTGACGGAGCAATACTCACCGACGGCAGCGGCAAGAGATAAGGCGCCAGGTCCACCAGAGGTTGAGTTGTTCTGGTACCGCATACGCAGCCGTCCCTGGAGGTCCGAATGACGGTGTTCTCCAACTGAATACCTTTGTACCATTGGCATTGGAGTGCAGCCTTCTCGAAAATGCAAGGACTCGAACCCCACCCCGAAAAAAATAAATAAATGGGCCCTGTCGAGTACAATGGGCGGAAACATTTGAAAGTCCGTAAAACTAAGGGGTACGCTAGACGTAGGGGTACTCTAGAGTAGTTAGTTTTGCCCGCTTGCGTGTACTCCAATGTGCCGCGCTGCAGCGCGTGTGAGAAGCACTGACCTCGATGATGCTGAGCCACTCCGAGTCGTCCAGGACGCCAGTGATCTCCAACACCTGGCCCCATGTGCCCGACAAATCGATGGCCTCGAAGCCATCCGTCGTGCCCGAACTGGTCCAGGTAGTAACAAGCGCATCGTCAACCCTCACCTTCATTGACACCTGCCTCTCAGTGCCTTTGAACATGGCTTAACGGTGGTTGGGATGGTCCATCGGCAAGGGCAATGATGGGCTCAGAACATCAACAACAGACGGGGGGGGGGTGCATGAGCACGCCAGAGGGAACAGTATGCTCAATAGACTCCAAGCGACAATGCTTGGCTGTGAGAGAGGGGAACATCGAAGGTCTCATAACACGCGTAGTCGTACGACACCAAAATGGTCGTTCGACGTACGATGCCAACGTCGATGTAACATGTATTCCCGATCCATGCGCTTGCCGGAAAATATCGAACACACGACACGACCAACAGCTTGTCTCCATTGACCCCTCACCTAGACGGAGTTCGTCGAGGTCATACGCGGTCCCGAGGTCGTACGAAATAGTACATTCGCCACCGAGCGTAGGGGCGCAGCTCCAGCGAGACGCTGTCGATAGGTCCCCATCCTGTCGGATGGGTAGCGGATGGTGTCGAGCGTGGTTGACTTCCAAATTAGAGGTATCTTGCAACTTTCGCCGACACCGTGTCACCCCGTGTCACACCCGTAGGGGAACATATTATAGAATATCGAACACACTTGTAGTCTGTGAAAATTCTTCACGTCCCGCGAAAATCGAGGTCTCTCATATTTCTTGAGAACAAGCGGCAGCCATCGGCCAACAATCGTGCTGCACAGCACCCCTAGTGTGGTGTCAACCTACCCTCGTGTTGTCAACCACACATCCGCTCGGGTCGCATCCGCCATCGACGGCCAGGCGGGGATCGTAGAAGGAAGCCCCAGCCGTCACTGAACCTAGAGTACTCGCTTCTACGCCAGATGCGTTGGTCGTGGTGTTGTCATCATCCGAGCCTGTCTCGCCATCGTCGATCATAATTTTCACCTGTTCAAGGAAGCGAACAAACCGAATATATACTTACGTTGTTCAGGCACGCGATAAAGCCACTCAAAGCGCTGGAAAAGCTACCGGGACAGCTCGGACACGACCGACATCGGCACTGTTCGAAACTACGGAAACGTTTATGGGGGTACAAGTAGGTGTGCGAGCGTGCCAAGGTTACAGATCTCAACAAGCCGCAGACCGAGGTAACATACACTCACACGACCAGGCAACAGCTGCCGCAACGGCACACAACCAAACCTCCATGATGCTGAGCCACTCCGAATCCGCCAGAACACCGACAATAGAGATCCATCGTCCCATAGTGTCGAGTTCAATGGTTTCGAAGCCGGTGGTCGTGCCCGAGCTGGTCCAAGTAGTGTACGGGAGGTTGTCGATGCTGATTTCGAGGGTCCTCGTCCGCTCGTCACCCTTGTACATCGCTGCAAGCGAGTGGAGTTTTAGCATGTATATCACTCGGTGTGGAGTTCAGACCGTCAGCGACATGGCACCTAGATATGGATCAGCCTTCGGTGGTCGCATGATCACAGACGAATTGCCCGGAACAGCCGTATCATAACCACATTGTCGGTATTTTTTATCGTTGGGTTATTCTGGACGTCGGTGCTTACCCCTTTCTTTCGATTTCGGTATAGGTCCGGACGCATCAGCCGGGGTTACACGCCGAGAAATCCTGTTGGAGTTTTGTTTTTCCGCCTTCTTGCTGCGGTGCTCGTCGTGATTGTTGTCAGGTTCAGTCATTGCTTTCCTCGTCGAATGTTACATCGGAGTTTTTGCAAACACCCGATGCGTTCCCTTTCACTTTAAGTTGCCGTTTGGAATGTTGTGAGGTAATATCCAAAATCAAAGAACTTCGCCATAGCAACAGGTGCCCAATAGTCGCCGTGGGGTACTCAACGGACCAACAGAAACGAGCCCCGGCCAATACGGATTTTCGTATGCACAGGTGGCGGCGCTTTCTGGCCCAGAACACCTCTCAGAACCAATCGCCGTACGAATACAACACCGAGGTCTCCAAACAATCACATATTCCTGCAGGTGACATGCAACGAGGTATACAAAGGAAGGGAATCGAGGGGATCAACACACAGAGCCCACTCCTCCACACGACACGGAAGGCAAAACAAGACCAAAAGAAATGACACAACAACATAGGTGGCAAGACAAACATTCATATGAACAGCTTGTCCCCTGCTAAAATCATCCTTGAACCACGCATTGCATAATGCAGACCACGACCACAACGGGACAACAGTACAAAATTATCAAAAGGTCCACCCACGCAAAGGCTAGTGCAGCAGCTCAACGATGACCGATCATGTAAATATACTACAGACAGAATTGGTCAGTCGGTTCTTGCTTTCTACGGTACATCAGGTTACCATCGTGCTATTCGTCAAAATACCAACTACACGAACAAGGTACTGCCGCACCGGATGCAGGGTTGATTGGTGACGCGCGTGTTGGTTGTATGGGACGAATCCGTTTGACACGAACTGCCAATTACCCACGAAATGAAATGGTCGAGAGGTCCCGAACGATGTAATTGATTGACAGCTTCGGAAATAATAGACGAGCACAGCACACGTCGGCCGTTCTCGAAGACCTAGTCGATCTCTATCACCTAATGCCCCCCCCGCCCACTGGGGCACTGGGGGCGGGGGGGGCGATGCTTCACCCTAGCGACACTTCGTGAAACGGTGGACTAGACTCTAAACGAGCAAACGAGATCTACCTCGTACGTACCGATGTTCAAACTGGACAGCTGGTACTGGATGCCGAGGCCGTATGTGATCCTACACTCCGAGCCGGCATCGCCAAGGGCGGGCTTGCAGGCCCATCGGGATTCAAGGGATGTCGCATCTCCATCCTGGTGTGCGGCATCGACCAATATCGCAGATAACGAATAACTACTATGATGTTATCCACCACAATACCGTATTTTTTGTGCCCATGCGCACTTGATGATTGCATGATGTGGGGGCGTACTTCTTTTACGCGCTGCGCTTTGACTGCCGAAGATGAAGGCTTTGGGACGTTCAATTACTGAAGGCATATGTGCCCTATCCAGTAGCATGCAGGAAAAGTGTCCGACTGTTCGGTGCGTGTTGTTGACAAGCGTTTCAGCGCACGGACTAATGCAAGTTTTTCACCACCAAAGGTTAATTTCTCCGGGTCGCCTACACTCTGCAGTTTTTCCAAACGACCCATGTGGGTGACCCATGGGTAACCCATGGGCACCCCGTTAGGTCCATGGGCAGCCCATGCTTCACCCATGGGGCACTTGTTGCTCATGGGTAGCAGGTGGGCAGTCTATGGGCGGGTCATGGGCAACCCATGGGCGGTCAATGAGAGCCCTTCAACCGAACCAGTATACCTCTAAACAATAGGTCGTCTGCTTTGCAACGGGCACAACTGCGGCAAATAACCCTAACGCTAACCGCAACCCTAACCCCAAGCCCACACGATACGTGCTAGGTTGGCGCTGGTGGCTAAGCTCTAGGTTGATGTAAAGGTGGCGCAATTCTAGGTTAAAGTGCCCACGGTGGGCACTTCATGGGCCGTTCATGGGCCGCTCATGGGCATGCCCTTGGGTCACCCATGAGCCGCCCATGGGTGTCCCATGGGCGGTTTAACATTAATATCAGTAGTGTGGGAGATCGATTTCTCCGCAAGAACGTACGACTCTGTTCGGTTGTCGGTTCTGCTACGCAGGAATGTACTACAACGAGAGGTGTACACAGACTGTACGTAGACTACGCGGAAATTCATCAAAGTGTTCAGCACATGGTTAGCACTGCTGATGTGCAGATGGGCGAGAGAAGCACCAGCCAAGGTGTGCAGGAATCATTGTTAGAGGTTCCCCCGTCATGGACTCATAGATGGATGTATTTCACTCACTCTGGTTAACTCGGCGACACACCCAGAGGGATCGCATCCGCTTTCAGCGCTGAGACGTGGATCGTACAGTTCCGCAACCGCAGTGACGTTGGCCAAGGTGGAAGCTTCGACGGAGGCTGCGTCCGCGAACATCGAGAGGGTGGGAGAGCAAGCCCACAGAAATGTACACAGTCGGGCCCTCATTGTCGACGAACCTGATTTCCAACTGCTGCTGCCGTCGGTCGAACTCGTCGATATGTCACCTGCCTGCAGAGGAAGTCCTTTGTCGAGGAAGGAACGCCCGAATGTTGTGTGAAGGTCGCACCTGATGAGAGAGGGACAGGGAGACAAAGTGTGTGTGAATGTGCGTGAGGCAGAAGGTGGCGTCTCGGCGGCGTGTGGCCGTAGTTCAGATCACCAAAAACGGCGGGCTGGATAACGCTTTATACGATCTTTCGTTTTCTGAATTTACTGGTTGGGGTTGACGATATTCCGATGCTGGTTTGATTCCCGAGCCATCCTTACTCCCGACAGCCAGCCGTGGGTGTGGTCGTGGGGTAGAACATTGCATGATGGTGACAACTAAAGAGAGGCGCGCACGGAGTTTACGTGACGATTGATTGTTGGGGGATTACATGCGTGACGATCCCTGAAGAAGATCCTGATGATACTTGGAATAATTCTCTTGGAGCAGCAGTGCTTGCTGTCGCCTTGCTCTCAAAGGTAGACTGAGCACAGAGATAGGGGGAGGACAGGTTCCGCGTATCCTTCAATCGGGAGTTGTGACACCTCCCCCATTTTTCACAGGGAATTCCCGAATTCCTCCGCAACAAGGTTGACTCTTGCGGCAATTTATATCCCATAACACTAGCCCACCCTTGAGGTTTATGTACGCTGATGCTTGAATCTCGGACCTTGACGATTATTTGTCGAATCCTACAATGAAAGGGTCGAGGATATACGGAGCTCCGACACACCAAAATTCACCCTCCCATACCTGTCACGATGAGTCGCGCCGTTTGACAGAACAAGCTACGAAGTTAAGGAAGGAACATAGGGGGCTACGAAGGGGTTACACGTACGCGTAGCAATCCCTGGCGACCCTGATGAAGTCTCACTTGTTGTTTATTGATCTCTTGGAATAGCAGTGCTTGCTGTTGCCTTGCTCTCAAAGGTAGACTGAGCACAGAAGGGGGAGGGGAGGGCATGTTCCCTCTAAAAGGGGGTACTGAGCACAAAGAGTGGAGGACACGTTCCCTCTAAAAGGGGAAACAAAGGTCCTGTCCCGTGTTTTATCCTTCAGTCGGGAGTTAGTTATATCTCCCGCACTTTCCAAAAAAGTCCTTCGCAAAATCGTTGATACTTTCTACAGCTCAAATCCCATAACACGATGACTTTCATGACTTTGTAACAGGATGGAGTCACCAAGCATATCAGGATATCTACTGCATCTATGCACCGTTCGCAGCTTTCCGGGGTGTTTTTCTGTCAGTCTGAGTCGGCTGGCTCTTGCTGACGGGCAAACTCCCGGAGAGTGGCGTTGTTGGCCTTCTTCCCTTGACAAGTGCTTCCTGTTTACAGACCGGGATAATTCAGAAGGACCATCAACATTGATTCCAGTCAAGGACTTGGCACCATAACATGGACCGTCCATGGACCCGGGCTATGATCGTACCCAATAATGTCACACGTGCCCAAGGGCCACGATAATTCATTGTTATGGGTGTACCCCGATCGGCGAGATTGGTCCAAAGACGATAATATTTGCGCCCAACGGCTGAATCTCGGCGCACGAGAAGGATTAGGTACATACATTTCTGGGCATCGAGGAGACTCGAGTGCAAGGTAAGCAGCGGTATAGATAGAGCACGGGCCCGTGAGGAACTATGTTGTTAGCGGCCTGGTGCCAACCTGTTTTGATTGGACTGATTTTGAAACAAACCGCAAGAACAGCATAAAAAAATTGCAACAAAATGAAGACCAGCTAGTCCAAATCAAGCCAAAAGCGCCGAAACGGTAGGTGCTCAAATAGAAGGTCGGGTTTTCAGCGTTTCAAGTACAGTACACCTTGACTGAAGATGATTATATGACTAGAGGACACCCCATAGTCTAGCAGCAGCGGTCTGTGTGTGCAGGCACGCTCAAACCGTCTTTTGGGTGGTGATATCGAGGGTACTATGCAGTAATGGTGGGCTACAATTTCTCCGTACATCACCGCAAATTAGACTGACACCAAGTCGTGTCTTGGTGCTTGATGAGCGCTCGCCGCCACTGACCCCAATCTCCAGCACCACGATGAATGCAACCGTGGGAGGACGTGCATCCTTTCCGTGGTGTGGAGTGCGGCAAGTTCGGAAGTTCATGACCCGTAGAGGTGAAAAGATGAGGGGAAAACATAAGAGGGACGAGGATACGCTTCGATTCGGCGGACAGGGCCAGGAGGGACACCTCTTCCCACAGGAAATCTGCAGATGGAATCTCGAGAAACATCGAGCCCAAGAAAAGCAACTTTCTTGCTAATAGTTAGGGACCGGAGATCGCCAACTCCACAACCAATAAATGAACAGAAAGTGGGGTCCGAAAAAGTGGGTTGGGATTAGAAGGTGCAATAGGTCTGAGAATTTCCGTGACAGACGCTGAAGTCTGTAGGGCTTCATGATGACAGAAATAACCCATCTCTGTCTGTAGAAGAGTCTACAGAATAAGGTATCTTGTGAATGACAGGTGTAGAAGTGCTGTAACCATTGTTGTTGCACATTCAAAAGTAGGACCAAGATACGATCCGAACGGAGTATCTTACTGATGGTTGATCAGCAAGAGACGCAACTATGGGTGCGTCCCCCTTAGTCCCACCTCTGGAGCTTGGGAATCCGAGACCCTCGGGCTTGGTCTCCTTCGCCCCTTCGGCGGGACTCTCTCTTTTGTCTCTCGCTTTTGAGACCCTCTCCGCTCTAAATTTCAACGAAGAGAACTGCCAGCCTTTAGTAGTGGGTAAAGACTACTGCAACCTAGGCCTCCCCCCCAACGAGGGAAGCCTGTGTCCTTATTGGCGTCGATGAATTACAAGACACTCTGCTGGTAGTAGAGGTTGAGGTGAGAGATGGCGAAAGGAAATCAGCCGTGCAACGCGCTCGCGAGAAGGCGGAAGAGGCGGAGAGCAGGCGGCTCGAGGAGCAGCAACGACTCCTTGAACCGGAAGCTGAGCTAGAGCAGCTACAGCAACGCCTCGCCGCTAAGCACCCGACAACCCCGCTGGCACGTGGGACACCCTCGGAACGCGTGCCTGCTTCNAGAAGGATTAGGTACATACATTTCTGGGCATCGAGGAGACTCGAGTGCAAGGTAAGCAGCGGTATAGATAGAGCACGGGCCCGTGAGGAACTATGTTGTTAGCGGCCTGGTGCCAACCTGTTTTGATTGGACTGATTTTGAAACAAACCGCAAGAACAGCATAAAAAAATTGCAACAAAATGAAGACCAGCTAGTCCAAATCAAGCCAAAAGCGCCGAAACGGTAGGTGCTCAAATAGAAGGTCGGGTTTTCAGCGTTTCAAGTACAGTACACCTTGACTGAAGATGATTATATGACTAGAGGACACCCCATAGTCTAGCAGCAGCGGTCTGTGTGTGCAGGCACGCTCAAACCGTCTTTTGGGTGGTGATATCGAGGGTACTATGCAGTAATGGTGGGCTACAATTTCTCCGTACATCACCGCAAATTAGACTGACACCAAGTCGTGTCTTGGTGCTTGATGAGCGCTCGCCGCCACTGACCCCAATCTCCAGCACCACGATGAATGCAACCGTGGGAGGACGTGCATCCTTTCCGTGGTGTGGAGTGCGGCAAGTTCGGAAGTTCATGACCCGTAGAGGTGAAAAGATGAGGGGAAAACATAAGAGGGACGAGGATACGCTTCGATTCGGCGGACAGGGCCAGGAGGGACACCTCTTCCCACAGGAAATCTGCAGATGGAATCTCGAGAAACATCGAGCCCAAGAAAAGCAACTTTCTTGCTAATAGTTAGGGACCGGAGATCGCCAACTCCACAACCAATAAATGAACAGAAAGTGGGGTCCGAAAAAGTGGGTTGGGATTAGAAGGTGCAATAGGTCTGAGAATTTCCGTGACAGACGCTGAAGTCTGTAGGGCTTCATGATGACAGAAATAACCCATCTCTGTCTGTAGAAGAGTCTACAGAATAAGGTATCTTGTGAATGACAGGTGTAGAAGTGCTGTAACCATTGTTGTTGCACATTCAAAAGTAGGACCAAGATACGATCCGAACGGAGTATCTTACTGATGGTTGATCAGCAAGAGACGCAACTATGGGTGCGTCCCCCTTAGTCCCACCTCTGGAGCTTGGGAATCCGAGACCCTCGGGCTTGGTCTCCTTCGCCCCTTCGGCGGGACTCTCTCTTTTGTCTCTCGCTTTTGAGACCCTCTCCGCTCTAAATTTCAACGAAGAGAACTGCCAGCCTTTAGTAGTGGGTAAAGACTACTGCAACCTAGGCCTCCCCCCCAACGAGGGAAGCCTGTGTCCTTATTGGCGTCGATGAATTACAAGACACTCTGCTGGTAGTAGAGGTTGAGGTGAGAGATGGCGAAAGGAAATCAGCCGTGCAACGCGCTCGCGAGAAGGCGGAAGAGGCGGAGAGCAGGCGGCTCGAGGAGCAGCAACGACTCCTTGAACCGGAAGCTGAGCTAGAGCAGCTACAGCAACGCCTCGCCGCTAAGCACCCGACAACCCCGCTGGCACGTGGGACACCCTCGGAACGCGTGCCTGCTTCGCGCCCTCGGGTGGTAGCAGTCCTCCGGAGGAAAATTCGGATGACCCCGAGGGTGCCGACCACGCTAGCAACACCAGCGGTGGTGACGGTGGCGATGATTCGGGCGAGCGCGACAACTTTTTCGGCGGCGAGGGTGAGACGATGATGAGGACGCCCCCCCTGCCGCCGGCCGGGAGCAGCAGGGGGGTTGGGCAGACGAGGGCGAACCCGAGGAAGAGCCCGAGGTTCTTTCATCTCCGGCTGGCGCATCCATCGTGGAGATGCTGAAACAGCACCNTCGGGTGGTAGCAGTCCTCCGGAGGAAAATTCGGATGACCCCGAGGGTGCCGACCACGCTAGCAACACCAGCGGTGGTGACGGTGGCGATGATTCGGGCGAGCGCGACAACTTTTTCGGCGGCGAGGGTGAGACGATGATGAGGACGCCCCCCCTGCCGCCGGCCGGGAGCAGCAGGGGGGTTGGGCAGACGAGGGCGAACCCGAGGAAGAGCCCGAGGTTCTTTCATCTCCGGCTGGCGCATCCATCGTGGAGATGCTGAAACAGCACCACCGCGATGAGACCGACCCTCCGGAATGGCTCATGCCTATTGTGCTGCCCGCCAGCTCGCGAAAGGTGAATGCTGTAGGTGGTAGCATGACTGCTGTCCGACACGACCCCAACTTTAGCAGTGAGGGTAGTGCCCGCCCGAACCTCCGGCGTGACAACAGCATACCATCTAATTTTGCTCAACAGCAATCACCCATCCCGTCGCGACAGTTAGTAAACGATTGTTCTCCTCAATCCGTAGACCCCACGAGAAATCGACAACACCAGCAGGACTAGCGACCCTCTCGTGATGCCGAATGCCTCACCTACACTCTCTACTGTTCGCACTGATGAACACCCGTCAGCGCACACCGCGGGTACGTCTGCTTGTTTCGTCATAAAACCCGCAGACCTACCCAAAGATCTTGTTTTCTCAGGGGCACCTGGGCAAGATATTGTAGAACGTTTGGCGCAATACCGTGCGAGTGTTAAACTGAACTCAGTAGACAACTGCCCGGACCATGTAGTCGACCAATGTGCTGTGCGATACCTCCCGCTTCTTCTGCGAGGGGCTGCGTATGACACCCTGTTGCAGTTGACCCAGGGAACGCTCGAGTGGCGTAACGCAGAGCAGTTGGCTGATCTTCGTGCAAAAGGTGCAAGTACTCGGCCGGTGGCTCCTTCCTCCTGGGCCGAATATTGTCACGCTCTTTACTTTCAGTTCTCTGCTCCCAACCACGTTCCCATTTTGGCCCGACAATTTGCCACGTTGGAACAGACAATGGATCAGTCCGTGGATACCTACGAATTGAGAGTCACACAAGCACGCGCGCGCCTTATTGGAGAAGCTACTCGATCCGCCCCACCGAATATTCGCCCACACGAACACGTATGGGATGTATTTACCACTGCAACGTTTGAAAACGGCTTAATCCCCAAGATCAGAGTGGAGACTGTTCGAGAAGACGCAAATATGAGTTTTCAAGAAGCTCGTTACCGTGCAGAGAAGCACGAGGCAAATTATCCAAAAGGCATATCCCCCACAACCCTCGATACTGCCCACGCTTCGGCTGTCTTACACACTGACCCGCCACAGCTGCGGTCCACTGTGGAGGCTCACACGTCTTACCTCCAGGAGGTGGCTGCTGAGGTCAAGCACCTGAAGTCGCGTGCCGCCACCACAAGCAGTCAACCGCGGGGGCCGCCGCAGCGCGCCAGCAGTATGACAACGCAACAAAAGCGCACCTCCTCGTACTCGGGAGAGGGACAAACCAAGGACAAAGCCCAAGAGGCGTTGTGATACCCCGGGTGCCCCGCCCCCGACACTCACGACACTGACTACTGTCACCTTCGCCAGAAAGAGAGGAAGGGTGGATAGGAGCGCCGGCCTCTGACGGGATGATGTGGCCCTTCAAGGGACCCCTCGCCCGAAGGGAACAACACCACCGATGCAACAGTAGTTGAGAGAAATGAGGTAGCGCGAGATGCCGTACTTCGCTCAACTAATGCTGCCATGAAGGGTGAAAAAACGAGGGATTGCATTTTGCATCGGGCACGAGAAGTTCAGGCCGAGTTTTTGATAGGATTAATTCTGTTCCACGCAAGGAGGTTGTAGAATCGGTAGGTTCTCCTCTGGTAGCAGAAACACCTAGCAAGGCACCACGCAAGGGACCATTTTTCAGTAGTGCAGGGCAACGCCGAATAGGGAAATTTACGAGTATCAGACCCTTAGCAGTAGCCCCGCAAGTACGACATGTTCCGTCTGGAGAGCCTTTGAATAAACAATATAACCCATATGGGTTTTCGCGTGCGTTACGTCGTGGTTCACGATTTGCAGCTTCTCACGCATCTGCATTGAGTAGATATCCGAAATTTCCAACTGCATTGAATTCCACCTCGAAACGGGTACATATTTCCGCTCGAGTGAACAATCACCCTGTGTCTGAAATCATAATCGACACAGCCGCTGATGTACCTTGTGTGTCAGCGAAATTATTGCAAGAGCACCCCACACTAAGAAATAAACAGAGTTGTCCAGTACCACCTGGAGCGATACAACTAAAAAGCGCTGACGGGTTACCTCTTGGAATTTTGGTGTGCCTACGGTTCAATCTCACACTAGGTGATATCACGTTACCAGTAGAAGCATTGGTTTTACCGAACCTGGGTCCAGATAACATGTTGCTAGATAACAGCATCAGGAATGCCTCCGGCGCAATTTTAGACTAGTGTGGTGAAGGATTATCTTTCAAGAATTCTGTGCTGAAAATACCCGCAACCCACCGTCGACCACGGGATCAAACATATCAACATGACAGTGCATCAGCACAAATTTCCGTTGTGACACTTGACCCGTCCCAAGGAGCCGTGCCAGTATATCTTTGTAGGGAGTACTGCATTCCTCCGAAACATGAATTGGCCCTTGATGTCGTGACTAGCCACGCCCCAAAGGAGACCACTCCTGCAGTCGTTGAGCCACGAATTATCACTGCCGACGGTCTTAAATCATCTGATGATACCCCTCAAGCATTCCGCCGCATCGTTGTCGCGCGAACAGTCTGTAACTGGTCGGCAATTGATAAGACAGCGGTGGTCCAGATGGCTAACCCGACTGATGGACATGTTCATCTGGACCGGAATACTGTTCTAGGGTGTATTTCTCCAGTTAAGACGGTGTCTGCAAAAACGATTAGCGCCGTCAACGATGATCATCAGACTTTTAGGAAAAAGAGAGATGAGCGGAACAAGGAGATGAAGAAAGCGTTTACGGATACCACATTTTCGCCCCAACAATGCTCACAAGTTCTCGATTAATGTGTCCGTTACAGGAATGTGTTTTCCCTATCGCCGAACGAACTGAGGAAATGCACCTTGACCGAAGCGGAGTTTCCGCTCGAGCCCGGTACAAAGCCAGTTGATCGGGTACCGTACCGTGCAAACCCACGAACACAAGAAGTTATCGATAAATGTACAGCACAAATGGAAGCTGATGATATCATTGAACAGCGACCTAGTTCATGGGGATCGGCGGTCACTATTGTAGCAAAAGCCGACGGAACCCCTCGATTCTGTGTGGATTATCGCGGTACCATTGATTAGAGTTCAATTCGAAAATCGTGGCCTATGCCCGATATTAATGCCCACATTGATACAGTGGGTGGAGCAAAGTATATCACTGTGTGTGACGTGCAGAGCGCGTACCACCAGGTACCTGTTGCAGCAGCGGAGCAAGGAAGACCGCCGTTGTAACTCAAAAAGGAATATGGGTTTTGAAACGCCTCACTTTTGGAGTTGCGAACGCCCCGTTTTTATTTGCTCGCATGATGTCATGAGCATTTGCACATTTTGGACACCGAAGTGGCCTCCTCGTTTACATGGACGGCATCATTTGCTGTAGTTCGACTTGGGAAAGTCATACTACGAAGTATAACGTTATTAGAAAATACATTCCAAGCCCTTCAAGCCGCAGGGCTCACATTAAAACCTTCCGAGGTACAATCTGGACAAAGAGAAGTAAAATATTCAGGTCACATTTTTGTCTGTCAAAGGAATTCTAATTGGAGACGACCGCATTAAAGCTATTGTTGACCTGCCCGCCCCTGAAACGATCAATGAACTCCGTTCAGTTTAAGCATGATAAATCTTGTGAGGAAATTTCTCCCAGACTTATCCAAGGTGTTAGCGCCGTTGGTACACCTCACTCAAAAAGAGCACGCCAAATCGATCGGATAACGTTGGCGAAACGAACATGATGAGGCGTTTGCGACAGTCAAACGACTGCTTACGGAAGCACCAATTTTACACTTTCCCGATTTTACCAAGGACTTCATTGTGCATGTAGATGCCAGCGAAGCAGGTGCTGGAGCTTTCCTTGCACAGCAAACAGGAGATGACCCCAGCATCATTGTATATTTTAGCCAACGATTCAACAATGCTCAGCGCCACTTTCCCCCAACAATGGAAGAATGTTAACAATGGAAGAATGTTACGCAGTCGTACTAGCAATAGTCTACAGCACTGGCGGCCCTATTTATGGGGCAGACATTTTGAAGTTGTGACGGACCATACTGCGTTGAGATACTTGTACACCATTCAGGACACTTCAAATATTCTGACTAGGTGGGCTATTGCTCTGCAGTCGTTTGGCTTTACCGTGCGACAAAAGCCGGGGAGGTTACACGTTGTCCCGGACACCTTATCTCGGTTGTTTGCTTTTGAGTACCAGCAACACATAGAAGCCCCGAAACTAACACCGATATGTTGGAATGTCACCATGGATCCTGCTTTGTATGTAGCTGTACCGAACAGACCTTATCAAGTGGCCGCACACCGGCTGGAAAATTTGAAACCAGTGCAAAGTGATCGCGAATTGTTTACCATTAATTCGGTAAACATCAACGCGACCAACGTTTTTGAAACGATGAACCGAGACATCTTGCGGGAAAAACAAGCAGCCGAGTATGGGAAATACATCGACTATCTTGTGGGGAAAAACGCACGAGTCCCGGACAACGAAACAGCAACAACCATGTCCTATTATTTCGTACGAGATGGATTGCTGTTCAAATCGTATTTACCAGGTTACCTCAGGAAACGGAGTACGTTCACTGATCGGTTAACTGTGTTGTAGCCAAAAAGCTTTTCCCAGGCATGGCATATTCAGCTATCAGTTTCAAACTGTTCTGTAGCTGAAACCATGCTATCCGTTTCAAACTGTTTTGTAGCTGAAACCATGGTTGCTTTTATTCAACTGCGTGAACACAATCGGGGGACAGAATCCGATGATGGGAGAAAAAAAAAAAAAAATCGGGGTATGGCCACATCTTCTTTCTTCCCCTCGCTGCCTCGGCAAGGTTTTGCGTAGGCGTGACCCATAGCAAGGGGGGGGGGGGGGG